TCACTGGACTGTATGTACATTGAGTGGATATGGGATACAGCCGATGACAACAAACGGGCGACCGCAAAGGGCCGGAGCGCGGATTACCGCCGTCGATACAATAACATTATTTTCACACAGAGTGCACGATCCATTCAACAGGATATCGCAGGCAGTAGACACCGCTTTCTCGTCCACATAAATACACCATGCCCCCCGTATCCCCGTGTCTTTTGTATACGAATTTCCAGGGGGGAGGTTCGGTGTAGAGGGAAAAAAATGAGGGAAATCCTGGATTTTAGGGCAACTGTCGAACAATAACCACCTATAAGTTTTGCGGTATCCGCTATAATAATTATAAGTGTACAGACACCCCGCCGAGCCGTGGGGCAAAAACCCTCGCCGTATTATTTTCACACACACACACACACACATTCACGGTAATTAGTATGTAAAAGGCGATCCGGGCTTTTTGTCCACAGAACTTCGGCGAGGAGGACTAGATCCGAAATTTTACCTGCTCGTACCTTCTGTCCGTAAAGTAAGGCCGTTATCTCTTTTGGCGGGGAACGGGAATCGTGATTAATCGAGCAACTGACGGACATAGGACGAACCAGCAAAGGGGGCAGGAGGTAAACTTTGGTCCTTTCGGGTACGAGCAAAAACAAAAAACAACAATATAACATAATAATCCAAACTCCGAGCACGTATATAGTGATTATACGTGGTATTTTTTTTTTTAGAAGAAGAAGGAAATTTAATTCGAAAACTTCATAATGCAATTACCAAACAAAATATTATCGGTACATACAAACCCCGTGCGAGTGTATAGAGTTTACCCCAAACCCGTTTTAACTCGTTATTTATTGTTCTCTTTGAAGAGTAATACAGTTTGTGTACCGCTGATGTTTTTTTCAACTCGATGCGTAATTCATTTTTTATTTGGAAATCAATATTTCTTTGCTGTTCCGTTCCATATGAGGTTAGTTTTTTCTACTTGCGGTGCACTAACTGAATTTTTTTTGTACGCTGAGAAAAACTCCGAAAGTTTTCAAGTCGAATAATAACCCTTAAGTGACCAACCCACATACATGAGGGGTCGGCCTACTAATCCTCCGTATTTCTCCACTCTTTTTTAGTAGTTAGGTTGTTATAACTGTGTTCTTATCAACCATCTTATCTCTTATCACTTATTCTTATCTTATCGCAGTGACTCGTATTTTTATCATTATTATTGATACCAGATTAAACAAAACACAAAGAGCTGTCAAGTCAACTTGAAAGTTTTACAGTTATTTTGCAACGGTTAACTGTGTCACTCTGAGAAAGAGAATAAAACAAAATATACAAAACGGTATTGAACAGTATATATATATATATATCTGTGTATAGTTTTGCTCTATATTATTTTACCCCCGTGCGTTTCAATAAACCCGGTTTAAATATATTATATTGGTTTATGTAGAACATGAAGATAGCATAACAACACGGCGTACTTTGTCCTCTTTTTGGGAAAGCGCCAGTTCAATTATCCTTTTGGATTTATTTCATTGGCCCCGCTCAACGGTATTGGATTTACAGCTCCGAGCTTTACATAACGATACCATAACACACTCTGCGGTCGACCACACTCTGAGTGTTGTTATTATACGATTGTATCATGCGCTGTAGGTACGTTTAATGTACTTACAGCCTAGCATAATATTATTTCCGTACGTCTTATGTAGCGTGTCCGCCGCGGTTATAGAATTTATTATGTGTATTTTTTTTTTTTTAGCGAATAACGATTAGGTAAACGTGTAATTACTATGTAGTTCAATTTGCCGCGATCGTATCGTCAGACTTACATTACCCAAGACCTTTCCGCGCCAGACCTACCGTTGTGCTGCGTATAGCTAATATTTATGTTTTTTTTTTTTTTTTTTTAAAAAAGGCCCTTGCATTTTCAACTTTTCCCCTCGCTGTACAACTCAACGTTAACCGGTAAACGCTGTTTGGCGGCGTATGAAATTTATTAATCCTAAGGGGAAGTGGACGACGGGGGCAAGAGGTTGCGCACGACAGGGCCCAGAGGCGGTTGGCGCTTTTCGGCGAGACGTCTACACGGGTGTCTTGACACTAAGAAGGCGTTCTTCAAAAACCCGCGAGACCGTGAAATATTTAATCGGTTAAAAGCCACCAGCCGACAGTTGTCGACCTACCAGCTGCACCGGTGCATAATTAATAATTTTTTCGCTCTTTTTTTTTTTATTTTTTTGTCTTTCCTTTTTGGCATTTCCCTTCTCGTCAGCCGTTTTTTTATGGGTCACCCGCGTTCCACAATCCCCAACAAAGCGTCTGTACTTTCGACACGGCGTGTTTCCTCCTCTGCGAGAAAAAAACAAAAACTGAGCTAATTTTTTTTTTTTTTTTTTGAACACAGGTTTTGTTATAAACAGACAATATGTTGTTGAAAAATAAACAACAAAGTTTTAGTCTCGTTTTTTTTTTTTTTGTTTTTACCGAGTAACGTTAAAAACATCATGATAATATAATGTCATAAAAAATTAATTTTACAACAACATATTATATTTTATTCTAACAACTTTCCAGTATTTTCTTGCACAAAGAAATAAACTCCGTTTACAAATCGCACCGTTTGTAACGATGACATATAGTCTGTTTTTTTTAATTTGCCGAATTTATTAAGTTAGTCTATTCCATAAAACTAATAAATCGTAGACCGTAACATTAAGCTCTTTCCGTAACATTAGGAGATCTTAATCGTAGGATAGGATAAGTGTATACTAGATATTGTCACGGTATGATAAGGAATTATTCTATGTAATTGCAATAGTTAAAACCCCTGGTATATCAATCCTGTTTTATTATACTTGTGTGGATTTGTCTTCTGTCCTAACCAAGAGTTTATAGGTTGATAGCTCATACACTAGATTCAATACAAACCAAGGACCTTGATTCAAGATAGATCAAATAAATGTATATTAAACTACCTATATGTATAATAATGGTTAAATACACAATATAATACATCTGGTTGTATTTTTTATTTGACTAAATTTTTATATAAAATCAATATAAATTGTATTTTTCAGCTCAAACAGCTTTTGTAAATTCAAGCTACGATTTTGTTGAATATTGCCTTTGTATTTGTTATTCTTATAATAGTGTATTTTAAGCATGAGCTTATGTGTAATGCACTTAGCAGTGCGGTTCTGTAGTAAAACGAGAAAAGCAATCAATTAACATGATTTTCTACACCGAATAATAACATTTGCCGTTTTCCAATTTTCTAATGGATGGCATTTGCCCTAAAGTTAACCGATTTATGTTTTTCAAAACTTCCGGGCGATGAATATGCTTTGACGGAGGATAAAGAACATTTTTTTTTTTTTAGCTCAGACAAAAACTTTTGAGCTCGCATCGGCCACGTTTCAGAATAACGTCAACTATTAACTAAATTAAACGTGTACTTTGAGTCATTTCACAGCCGCTGTTGCTGTTTAACATAATATACTGTGATGGACCCTCTAAGAAACTTTATACAGACATTGGGGTGTGCTAATTGTTATGTGACATTTCGTCTATTAAACTCTCGACCGGACCGGACGGCGCGAGGGAAGCCCGTTTAATTAGTTAAAAGGTGTTTTTAGGTTTTCGTGTATAATATAATATACAGTACAATACAGCGCAGACGGACGAAAGTTTCTTTTTTTTGGTCGTTCAAACGGTTACAGCCGGCTAAGTCTGTCGAATACGAAGATTAAATACAAGTACCGGCCGTATCCTACTTAAAATATATTATATTTGTCGCGTTAAAAACTAACGGCAACGTTCTCGGCCGTTTTCATTATGCGCGACGCTCTTGTGTGTGTGTTTTCGCCAACACTCGGGCAAATAGTTGCACTCTCGCCGTCGGTGTTGTTTTAGAATTTTATATATATATATATATATATATGTACATTGTCGCAATTGTGAATTCATGTGTCCCGGCTGGGGGACATTTAGAAAACGCCGCCGCCTCCGTTTCACAATCCGCATTTTCTCTGTCTCAGTGGTCGTATCTCCCTGCCTGCGTTTGCCTCTCGTGCGCCCGCCCTTGTCTGTTTCCGTTTCTCCCTATGTGTACACCACTCACTAGTCAGACGACATTTTTCGACAAAAGACGTTCTAGTGGCGTACGCGACGCTTGTTGTGACCCACTAGAACATATTATTATTATTATTATTATTGTATTTACGTTTTGTACGGACAAGAAACAACAACACGAACTCTGAGGGAGGAGAGATGTTAATTTAAAACGCCATGCCGGTTGCGCTGAAACGCCACCATGTGCACACGTACACTCTACCGCGTCACCACTTGACCGGTAAAGCAAAAATTCTCCCCTTATGTGTACACACACACACACACACACACACATTAGTTTGCTACATTTGTCGACAAAATGAAAGAAAAATATATATATATATATACATGTAAAAAGTGAAGAATATTTTTTTTGTCATTCAAACGTCGAGTGCACCGTGGTATAACGAACCGCGCCTACGGTCTGAAAAACACAAACCAGACTCCGGCTCGTAGGCGGTGTGTGTTCAATCGACAATTACATAATATTGTCATGTTGGAAAATGTATAAATATACATAAAATGTACCAAACCAGGTGTCCTTTCGTGTTGTGGGTCACCGCACCGCTAGTATTAACATTGGCGACGCGGCACCGGCGGTCCCACCACGGTCTGGAGTTTTCCCGTATTGACTTTATAGCTTTTCGCGTCTGTTTTCCCCTTTAGAAAAGTATCCGGATACGACGCGCGGTTAAACTTTGCCAATACGCATATGCCACCGCCCTCGTGTGTAGACACACACACACTCGTGTTATTATATCCGTAGAAATGTGCGCGTACAAGCCTCGGTGTGCATTATTTACACGTCGTTCGCACGCGGCTGATCCTTTTATTTTTTTTGTGTTATGAAGAAAACCCTTAACGTTATCGTATGTTTTTTTTTTTACTTGCAGATGTCAGCTGCGGTCGACCTCCGCGGATCATCGAACATCCGGCCGACATGATTGTGGCCCTGCACGAACCGACCACGTTGAACTGCAAGTCCGACGGTCAACCTAAGCCCGAGACCAGGTGGTACCACGACGGTCGCCTGGTGGACACGGCTCGGGACAGCCGAAAAGCATTGCTCCCGGACGGGTCGTTGCTGTTCCTGGAGCCGGTGCACGGGAAACGGGACTCGGACTCCGGAACGTACTGGTGTGTAGCGTACAATTCCTTGGGCGAAGCCGTCAGCAAAAAAGCCAATCTAGTCGTTAAATGTGAGTAAATAAATCAATATTTCGCTTGAACGAAAGACGTTAGATCGTCATACGTCTTAGGTCAGCCGATTTCCTGTTTCTCATCAGCTGTTTTCTACTTGTTTTTAGATTTGATAAATGTCCATTTGAACTTATAGGTTGACACTTGCCAAAAATTCATATTCGCGTAAAAATGTCCCGACCACACTAAATGGAAATTCTTAACAACTTACTGCGTTGCAATATTTGCTTCCTGTTTGGTTTCCATGTTTCGATAAAAAGCGAAACATGTGGCAACTAACGAATGTTGTCTTAGTGTGGATCCGGCTTTAGCCTACTCTACCTCAACTCGCATTGATATTCCACAATCAACACTAGCTTACTCCCTATTCACTATCATTGTTTTTGTTCACAAGATCACTCCTTAGCTACTACTTATTTTATGTTAATTTTCCATTTGGCCCTTCCTAATCACAACACTCGTTCATTTTAAGGTTCTTATTTCTGTCACAAACATCCTCTGCCGTATATTATTCTAACGAAGAGTATAAGGTCGCCTGTTCCATAATGCAGAATAGCTGGGGGCAAATTTGATGGCAGGGCGATAGGGCGATACTTCCCTTAAGCCGAGTTTTTATTTTCTTTAAAACAAAATAATTAAAAACAAATAACGCAACCCTTTGCGAAGTACACAAAATTTAGTTAATTCGGTCTCACTACCGATGGATGTCCTCAGGGCGGCCCGCCGAATGTAAATGTTCTATATTTATTCATTTAAAGCCGTCGAAAGAACGTCAAATATTTTAACACATCGCGAAGATCAACTATGTTTTTGAAAAAAAAAAATAATTCCATTTCAGTAAATATTTTTATTAGTAGAGTTCCAGTAACGGTTATTTATGTCAAACAGGACCGGATTTTGGTAGTGCATTTCAGGAGAATCACGTTTTCCACGAGTGTATACAATAATGATAATTGGTTTTGACGTTGTGCAAAGGGCAAATAAAGCATGTTCGAAACATCCATTGCCAAAAGATGTTGTCAAAAACAGATAATATGTCAAACGATTGGTCATCCTTAAGCCTCGGGCACGCCGCGTTATAACGTTTTAAGTACACTCCGGGTTGAATTCGCTCACCAAAGATCATTAATCAAAGGGAAACGTCTCAACAAAAAAACAACACTCACAGTTTGAAAGTTTAACGATTTAATCGATTCGCGTAGTCGTCATTTCGAAATTTGCTCGAGTACTTTGCAAACTCTTCAAGTTTTTCCATCGCCGGCAGATTCGTTTTGTCTTATTGTTAAAGTTTTCATTATTTCTGGTGCTCAAAAAAAACCTTTTAAGAGTTCGACGAATGAATCACGATTCACGGCGTCTATAAGTATTCCTAATAAATATTTAATCCCGGCTCTTAATTATAGCTAATTAAACGAGCGCACTTAGGCCATTAGTGGTCTCGCAACACTGTTATATTTACTTTATATAAACGGAAATGCAGTGGCTTAGCCGGCAATCGGTTGAAGGAAGAGGGGAGGAGGGGTTTCAAAAAGAGAAAACGCTCATGGTATACAACTTCGAGTTTTTTTAATGTAAAGGACTAATAGACAAAATAATGTAAGAGTATGATTTATGAGTTACCGAATAGCGTTCAGACTATATTTTGTCATAATATGAATCGAATAGGCTGAAATCAAATAATCCAAAAAATCGGAAAATGAATTGGTAACACTGCTTGTCATCAGCTTGTTTCAAAATACACCAGAAAAGGCTAGATTTAGCCTTGAAAATAGTGGTTAGTATCAAAACTAACAAGTTCCATTGAATCATGTGAGTTTTGATATTTAAGGCATATCTTATTTTTGTACTACTCGCATGTCAAAACTCACATGTTCCAGACTTTAACCGAAAAAAACCTAGATAACTACTATGATCATAGATGTTGATGACAGGTTCGAGTTTGTTAGCCTAAATCACGCAAGTATACAAATTACATTTTGGAATTCTTATTTGCCCAGGAAAACCTTCCACCGGTTTTTTGCGCAAGGGTCGTGTGAGTTTTGATTTCGACCCACTCAATTTTTACATATTTTTTTTCAAATCAACGAAATAGCAACCGACTTACTTCACTCGCGTCTATTGCGCAACCGCTCTTGTCACATGACAATACGATATTATAATTATTTATTACTACACACATTTGCATCGCCGTCGATACACTTCCGCGTTATTTCTCCGATTCGAACACGCGTTATACGATTCACTTCCGGGCTCGGTTTAATCCGATTCTGCACGTCCCATAAGTCTGTTGCACTACCGTGTAATTTCAATGGCACACGCCGTTGCACAGCCGTGATTGACCTTTATCGGAGCCGTTCATTAATTACATTTGTTCCGGCACATAAACCGAATGTACGCGACAATATTGTGCCGTTCCGAAGTCCCCCTCGAGTGGGGAAAAAAACAAAAAAAGAGATATTATTATATAAACTTACTTACTTCAAAGGACGGTCGTCTCGTCTATGCGCGCACCCAGTTATAATATTGTATAGAAATAATAATAACAAGTATAACGTTGTATGTAGTGTGCGCACCGCGTTAATCCGGCTTAGAGTCCGAACAAACAAAAATAAATGATTGTCAAAAATGCATTACACACGGGGTGATTCATCGCTGAAGAGCCGGCCAATCTACCAGAACATTCAATTCATTTTTGCCATAACGCCGACTCGAAGCTGTTATTGTTCACTAGTTCTCAAATACACACACCCCTCTCTCGAACTGATTAAGTATCGCTTAAATGTGTATTATTACCATAAAATGTGGTTTATCAAACGTTAATCTATAAAATATTTACGTTTAATTCCTTCGCCCAGTGTTATATTCTAGTAGAAACTTGGGTTAGATGAATATTTTTGTCAAGGGCCAAGGATCAGGAGCTAATACGCATCATTCAGGCCCTATTTTTCCATAAAGCTGAAGGGTTTAAATATAAGTGAGTCAGTATATCAAAGCGTCGTTGTTCGTGATCAATTATTTTAATTGCGTTTCTTTTATTGTTTTTTCTAATGTGAGTACTGATGAAACGATTTTTTTTTTTATACTTTTTAAGATTCACGTGTGGATTTTTTCTAAAGTTAAAAGTAAGTCATAAAGATAAATAGGTATAGATAAAGATAATATTACATTCCATTACCGTTTAAAGTTTAACGGTCAGCAGTAAAAAGTTATAGCTCGAGAATTAATCATTAATTTATAACTAGTTATAGCCAATATTTTTTTTCAGTACAACTTCATACTCAAAATACCTAAAAACATTATAAGTAATCGAACATATATATACTGGTGGTACACGAGTTCACCTATTTCATTTAAAAAATTGATTATTTTGTGGTTCACATTTATTTTTATAGTTACCCTGTTATATTTTTTAATGTACTGTTTTTATTAAGTTTTTTATGTCTGGTATTCCACTCTGCACCTTCGACAGTGTGTATTCTCTTTTCATCAAGTGACCACTGACCATGTTGAACAGCTGCTACTCGTCTGGAGAGTATCTACTAGTAACCAGTTCAGCATGCGTGGTTTGTTACTTATCAAAGCGCTGCAGGTTTAGTACGATCGTTTGTGAATAACCCCGTACAAAAATCTATACAGTAATATTTTTGTGTTGTTCACTAATGGCGCGTGGGACTGATAAAATGCGGTATGCATCCATCGGTTAGGCCATTGTCGATAATTTAATCTGACCAAGGCGGTTTAATTCGCTTGCTTGTTTGACTTGTCAAAAAACATTTGGTCGGGGGAGTGAAGAGTATTGGGTCAACACGTGTGTAAAAAGAGAGGGGGCATCCTTAAGGTTATTGAAGCGCAAAACAAACGGCCGGAAGCCGTTTTCTTTTGGACACGGGAGCTGAGTGAAAATAAGAGCGACGGGGCAAGGGTTCGGTTTGGGGCGCGAGCGAGGAGCGATCTGGGGGGAGGGCCGCCAAGACAAACATTGCTGGAAAAATGGTCTTGTTTGATATTCCCGGGGGAAGCATCGAAAGCAAAGAAACCAACGGTCGTCTTGCCCCAAAACTTTCGACGGTCGGTTGTACTACGCTAATTAATGGATAAGGAATCAGACGTCTATATTGGCATGGTAGTATAAATAAATAAATAACAATTGAATCTCGTTACACGGCCAAACTCAAATCAAATGTCAAATAATAAAATATAAAAAAAGAAATAAGAAAGTTTTTTTTTTTATGGTAAAATAAGGGGTTTTTAAGTGACAGACGTTGCATTTGTAAGCTCTTTTAGTACATCCGTGTCTATGGGGGTGGTGTGTATCGTTAATTTAAGGTTCTTCTATATTGACGTCTCGCAGTAACGGAAAAATTAAATGAAAAAGCCTTTGAGCGAAGCGACGGGGATAATGCGATGGAAACCCGAGAACCGAATCCTAAAAAAAAAAAAAAAAAAACGCTTTACGCCAATGGTACACACAATATTATATATAGGGTTGTGCCGATACCGCAAACGAATTCAATCCATTACCGTGCGGATTGCATTCCGTTGTCATTTTTCCTTTGACAGTCGATTTTTTCTACCCATTTCCAGACTGCGAGTTTTGCTTTCTCTTTTTCTGTATGTGTTGCTCGGAAAAATGTTTACAAATAAGATTTTTTACCGAATATATTCGCGGTAAAATGCATTATATTATATAAGATGTTTTTTGCAGAGTTTTCTGATATTTTTAATAATAATGTATTGCTAAAATATTTTTTATTTTTATAAGCAAATTACTAAACAAGTAGTCACGTACCCATCACGACAATGTGAAGTGTAGATAAAAAAAGAGCGCATTCATATTTATAATTTTAAAGACAATGTACTCGGAAATAGTATCTCCTATCGTTAAGGGTGATATTGTGTCTTTTGAGTTGGAGAAGGAAACAGGATATTGGACAAACGTTGCTTACTGTCAAAACAAATAATTATTTTTGAGAATTGGCGAGTATTTATCGATGCTAAA